TTTTTTTTTTTTTTTTTTTGCGGCAGTTCTTGCCAGTGTACCATTTCCACGCCTTTGGTTATTTGTATGATAATAGAGCTCTGGCATGAAAATACTATCGATTCTTCTATGACTAATTGACAAAAACACGTGTTCTCGTTCTATATTTTTGCTCTGTTTTTCTGCCCAGCTATTGCGTGCAACTTTATTTCGCCGTAAATACAGAATTTCATGCGACTCTTGTTATTCGAAATGAAGGATTATCTCGGCAATTGGAAAGAAACGTAACTCCAACATTCCGAAAGCAGGAGTTTCAAGAAATGTAAAAATAAAAATAAAACTTGAACAGTCGAGATTATTATTACAGCCGGTCTGTTTTCCACGATTCGATGAAAAACTGAGGTGAGAAACAACTGAAGAGAACAATAAGTTTTCTTCATTTAAATCCCCCCCTCCCCCGTTTGAAATCACACTTTATGATATAATCTCAATGTAAATCCTCTTTTCTCTGATATCCATAATTGACAAATAAATATTCCTAATAATCACCCTGTGTATAATTTCAACTGACTAATTATCAGTTATTAACGATTAATGCGACTGTGAAAATGAAATAATCATCTTTCCAAGAAGAGAGAGACAGAAACTCGATTGGATTGAAATAAAGGAGAAAAAAAGAGAAAAAGAAAAAAGGAAAGGGAGGGAGAGAAAAATGAAACATCGACCGTGACAGGACTCGAACCTGCAATCTTCGGATCCGAAGTCCGACGCCTTATCCGTTAGGCCACACGGTCATTGAAGGGTAGCTTTTCGAAATTAGCATTTCAACACCACAGGGAATGCCACCCCCATTATTATTTAACAGAGAATAGAATCATTGCACAAATATTTCAACTATGAATTTACGATATTACTTTGTAAAAATGACTGTTCTACGCTGGTGTTATAACTTGTGGACGATTGTAAATCCTGGTTTATCGAAATACAGGTAATTTAGGGGTGAACATGTTGCTGCTTGGTTAGAAATTTATTTTAAAATTTATTTTTATGTATATGTTTTATTTTATATTTTAAAATTCATTTTTAGAAATTTATTTTAAAATTTATTTTTATATATTTACTTCACCTGCCGGCGAAGATCAGATTCGAGTCTGAAAAACCTAACCTAAACCTAACCTAAACCTAACTTGAACGTTTGATTTCTGGAAAGAAACTTTCCACTTAGAAGCTATGAAAATGAACGCTTGCCGATTTACTTCGCAATCTCTTTCATTGCAATGTCATTGTTTGCATCAAAGTTCAATTTCTTATCGTTATATCATTTCACGGCAATTAAATGATCAATCCCGCTATATGTACTTAAATGCAAATAATATGCGCGTAATACTTTAATTTACCTTTTAATTAATATTTTATATCTTTTATATTTTTATAGCTTGTTTAATGACCAAAGTAAGTAAAAGTGATTTGGAAATTTTTCAGACAAATTTTGAAACAGTTTTAGAGAAGATTTTCAAAACAGACTTTTTGTTGAGATAAAGTATATGTATCTTTGAACCAGCGTCCCGTAAGTTCGTTCTCAAACAACAAATTACAAGATGGAATTTCAAGAAAATGTCGAATTGAATAGCTTGGCAAGCTGCTATTATAGAACCCTGAAAGCTCAACGACATAATTGCGAGGGAGGCGTGGTGTGGCTTAATCTCGTTCTAGAAAACGACTGAATATTAGCAGACATTGACGGACATCCTGTACGAAATACTCGCTAAGTACACGATATCACGCGCGTGTTCCTCGAAAACCTTCGCCATAATTTTTCTCAGCTTCGCATCCTCCTTTATACGCTCGTTTTCATCTCGCGAGCGAACATTTATTCTATTGCGACCCATTAATCTTCGAGAGGCAGAAAAATTCCATCCGTGGAAAATTCACGGCCTACGAAAATTCACCTTTCGGGACGAGAGGTTTCGCGCTGGCCCACAAATTAACCAGCTGAGAAATTTCTGGCCAAAAAACGAAAAAAAAAAAAAAAAAAAAAAAAATCGTCCTCTGTGATAGGAAAATTCGGAATTCGTGGTTTGCGAAGTTCATTCTGTGATTGTGAAATTGGTGAAACAGCTTTGCGGGAAATTCCTTTTCTTTTGTCGGATGATAAATTTCATAGGCTGTATAAATTGTCTCTGTATTTTACTCTTTGCATTTATTTATTGCAGAATTAAATAATGTTTTCTATGAGTTTCTCCTTCTATATTCTAATTGAAAGGAGTGTACAATTTTTGTGCTGGGATGTAAAAAATGGGATATGAAATATGAAAGTATAAGAAGTCTGGAAAACTCAACAGTTATATAAATGTTGTGCCAATTAAAGAAAAAAAATTGCTTTTTGCGTGTGTACGTAGATTATCAGTTTCTTATAAATAATATAAATGGTAACTAGTTATAATAAGTTATGTAACTTCTATCCCTCCATGTGTATGTGTGTACGTGAGAAAGATAATAAAAATTCAAAATCAAGCAACAAATTTGAATATCTTCCCAGATGTTTATCGTATTTGAGCTGTTTTGTCAGCTATGTAAATG